CCTCCCCTCCCCTCCCCCTTCTTTCTACCACCAACTAAACATCCCCTAGAAAAACCATGTTTGGTAGTCAAAAGCCCTTGAAATTTTAAATAGTAAATAGTTTTGATTTTAACACTATTCGCTAAAACTGTCTGTGCATGGTTTTGTACATTTTGTGTTTATGTAACTGTGCAAGTTAAAATATAGTCTTTTGTGCTGATGGAGAAAATGAGTAATTTCTTTGCTCATTTAGGTGATCGAGAATCTGCAAAACTTGACAAACTTACAGGAGCTATGGCTAGGTCGCAATCGTATAAAAGCCATCAACTTATGTGGATTAAAATGCATTAAAAAGCTCAGTTTGCAAAGCAATCGACTAACTTCTATGAAAGGATTAGAGGTAAGTAGGTAACCTTTTTATTCACAAAGTAAACCCTTTATATGGCTTCTCTACCTGAATGACTAATGCAGCTATTTATAATTATATGGTTCTCTACAATATCCAGGAATGTACCGCGTTAGAAGAACTATACTTGAGCCATAATGGTATTGTGAAAATGGAAGGCCTGTCAACTTTAGCAAATCTACGGGTCTTGGATGTTTCTTCAAATAAACTTGCTGCAATTGAGGATATTGAAAAGCTCACCTGGTATGCATACATGAATTAGCAGCTTAATGGGACTCACAGCTTATTCAGTCAACTATATATGACCATTTGGTAGTGGCTTAATGATATAGAAAGTGGCTTATTCATTAAGCTTCTAGGGGGGAGTTTTATGCGGAATGCCAAAAAAATTCCAAACCTGCCCCCTCCTAATTTAAAGAAAACACCCCTTCCATCTACGAAAAAACCCTCCAAACAAAAACCTTCCCAATCTATACAAACAGATTAATCTACACATACAACTTTATTTCATACAGGACTTGATAGAAAACCAACTAAACAGACCCTTATTTGAATTCATTCTCATCATATCCATTGTAGTATAATTTATTGTTTTTGTTGGTTTGTTTTCTCATTGCAGCTTAGAAGATCTATGGTTCAATGACAACCAGCTTGCATCATTAGATGGCATCGCTGAGGCAGTTTCTGGTTCGAGAGAGAAGCTAACCACCATTTACCTTGAGCACAATCCGTGTGTACGTGCATTTTATATACTTCAAATTTTTGAGCTTCTACATCTCCATGGCTTCTTGCTTTATATTCTATATGATATTCCTCCCATGAATTTGCAACGTCTGATTTTTCTTAATAGTTTAAGTAAAACGTTTGATTATGTGTCAAATATCTAAAAAGCTTCAGTGAGAACATAAAAGAATTCTTGTGGACTCAAATTAACACCATTAATTGGTTTGTAATGATTATAATGGGCTAATGGGTAATTTTACATGAGATCTTGCAATTTTTTTCTGGGACAGAGAAAGCAATAAACACTTCATGTTCACTTTTCTCCCGTTGCTATTATGCTTTTCCATTCAAAGTTGGTTATTGTCCAGTCCATGGTCACGATTATGAATTGTGACTCATATCTTCTCAGATAATTGGTAAATAAATGTGTTTGGCTGCACCTCTATGTTATATATATATATATATATATATATATACACACACACACACATAGGGTTGAGTTCACGTGAGACCAAAGGTTTTTGTGAGACCAATTTATGTTCATTGATCAACTTTATAAGCTAATGGTCTAATGGTCTAAAGTTGTACGGTGGCAATTTTGTGATTATTGAGAAATCTCGTGGCAATTTTGTGATTATGAATATTCAGATTGTAGATCTAATCCTAGGGTTGAGAATTGGTCTTACGGGTCTCACGAAAAACCTTTGGTCTCACATGATCCCAAGTCTATATATATATATATATATATATATATATATATATATTCATTAAATGCATTAATCAGAGGCAAGCTCCAAGTGGGGTTCATCTCATGAAGTTTCTAATAGATTGCATTTTGTAGCCAACTAGATTGGGATAAAATGCATGTCATGACCACCATTGGTTTTGAAATTCATCAAGTTCTTGTAAGCTCAGTGACTTACCTTTTAACTTGCCATTTAAGCATATGTTGCAACAGTCTTTCTGCTCCAAAATATTTAAAACTTGACATATTTATTTATGTGTAGAGAAATTGATAACTATATCGAACTACTATAGCATATTAGGTTGAATTTGAGTAGGCAAAAACCATATTAACTTATTATGGTTTTAATTTTTTATATCGAGTGGTGAGATTGTTAGAGTGGCTTGAACCCCACACACTTTTCTCATTTTTGGTGAGGTTTGAACCCTTGACCTTCTGGAATGCCAAATAAACAAATCGGTGGTAGAGTGGCTAAAAACTATTTCATCCATTGATGATTTGGTGGTGACCAAATACTAATATTTAGTCATGAAATGTCGTGGTGTGATCCAAACAGGGTTAAATACCAAATAGTGCTACTCCCTCCATTCCCAAAATAAATGTTCATAACCACAAGGGTGGTGTCTGATTGGTTTGAGCTTGGCTTCAAAGGTCAAAAGTACCAGGAGGACCCATGTTCAAATCCAAGGAGGAATAAAAATCTCCTAGTGGCCACGGAGGTTCAAATGCGATGACTCCGGGCTATCTGCAAAGCAGGTGGTCGCCTAGGATTAGTCGGCTCGCGTAGCGGGTTGGATATCCAGGTTAATCAAAAAAAATGTTCATAATGAAAATGGCACACAGTTTTAGGAATGCGTAATTGTTACACTTTTTTGATTGACTAAATGACACTTTTACCCTTAATAACAGACATTAGTTTTGTCCATCATACAATCAAGGTTAGAATGGGAAAACAGACGCATATTTTTTTTGAAGTGAACACTTATTAGGACAAACTAAAATAGAAATGTGGACACTTATTTTGGGACGGAGGTAGTAGCTGAAAGAAGTCATGTAGATATTAACTGAACTAACCCAATAATATCAGAAGTAGGGTTTAGGTGGGATGTGCACAAACCTATGCTCTACCCACAAAAGGTAGAGCAGTTGTTTCCGTAAAGAACCCCAGCCTGTAAAAAAATACTCTGTATATAAATATGGTTCACATATTTTGCAGGCAAAGTCGACGGAGTATTTGACTAGTCTACGACAAATCTTCCCAAATATTGAGCAAATCGATTCGGAAGTGTTTGCTTAGATTAGAAGGCAAGTTTTGGTTGGTTTCTTCCCAGTTGAGACACAATTTGTGGATGATGCTGGAAGTCTTCATTTAAAATTGGTCATATCTTGCAAGTTTATGTATTTTTGCTGATACAAAATTTGTTTGTATGGATTTGATACAAATTTGGTTGTATAATTTCCTGTGAAATTATTCATAGAAGTACATTGATGTCACCCTTTTATAAACCAAATCGGTTTCCAGATTGATCGAATCAATTTGGTTTTACGTTGCAATTAGTAGTTATCGTTGTGTAAGGGGCGTTTACCCAAACGCTTGCCAGGTATACCATGAAGTTACAAAGGTTGTACCCGTGAACCACCCCCCTACAGCGAAATAGGCACAAGGAAAGAGCAATAGGCCGGACCAGCCTACAAAAACGAAACGGTCCCTCCGTAACCAGCCATCCATAATATCAAACAAATCATTTTCTTCTTTGGTAAATTTACCAAGAGCTATAGTCATCGTAATTCTCCTATTCAACTATTTCGACCATTTCCCAACCCCTCGTAGTATTTTTCGGGGGGTCCGAAAAAAGTTGATCATTTCTGCATATTTTTTTCTTGCACACTACCCCTTCCAACGGGTTTCGAAGATAAAACTCCTTTCTCTATTGTCCCGTAAATTGACCACTCAAGTAAATCGCTAAATTCAATTTGATTATTCCGTCTTATTATTAAGTATCTGGATCATGAATTGTCTTTTTATGACTTGTCTATCAGATCGATTCATTTTTTGAAATAACTGTTTAAGGAAAAAACAATCCCCTCGCCCACTACCGGTTGATCCTCAGACTCTAAACCAACAATTTGTTTTGGAGATTTCAGTAATTATTATATTACTAAAATACTTTATAAATTCATCGTCTCAATAAACTTTAAAAATAATAATATATTTATTGGGTTTTAAAGTTCCCTTCAAATCTGAACTTTCATAATTTCTCTATTTGATAACAATTTTAATTTTGAGCAAATTGTATGAAAAAAGTAACGTATTTTAACTTGATTCCTATTTTGGGTAACATATTTTTAAAACTTTCATTTTGATACCTAAGATGTAAATTTTTAAACATTTAAGTACCCGAGTAACCAGTTGAAACATAAACCGATTATCATGTTGATGTGACGATGATGTGGTATCCAACTCAGTATCATTTGCTGACGTGGTTTTTTTAAGTATATAATATTTATATATGGCAAAATAGAACAAAATAAACTCACACAATGTGAGGTTTGAACCCTTGCCCTCTAAGAAGGTCAATGACTCACATACCGCTAGGCCAAAGGCTCTTTGGTCATTTACTGGCATGGTTAGTGACATCTATTTTTTTAATCTAATATTAGTCTTTTTTTAATCTAAAATTAGTCTTCAACCGATTACCCGAGTAATTGAATGTTTAAAACTTTACATTTTAGGTACCAAAATGAAAGTTTTAAAAATACGTTACCCAAAATAAGAATCAAGTTAAAGTACGTTGTTTTTTCATGCAATTTGCTCTTTAATTTTATAAAAAATAACCTTTTTACACAAATATTATTAATGTTTCTCTAATTACAATTTTTAAAATTCGATATTGAAATACATTTTACACCACACATTTTACTTAAAAATTCTTGAAAAGGTTATAATGAGAGAAGATATCAAAAACTGGTTTTACACATGACCAATCCAGAAAATTCCATAAAACTTGTAACCGATCTCGAACTATCGAACCATTTTTGTAACCGATCTCGAACTATCGAACCATTTTTGTAACCGATCTCGAACTATCAAACCATTTTTGTAACCGATCTCAAACTATCGAACCCATTTTTGTAACCGATCGATCTCGAACTATCAAACCATTTTTGTNCTATCAAACCATTTTTGTAACCGATCTCAAACTATCGAACCCATTTTTGTAACCGATCGATCTCGAACTATCAAACCATTTTTGTAACCGATCTCGAACTATTGAACCATTTTTGTAACCAATCTCGAACTATCAAACCATAAATGGTCGGATCAAGCCCAATTTGACTCTCTCAACTCCAGAGTCCACATTGATACAAACGTAACAGTCTTTGATAATTATTTTCAACCGAGTTTCTGGCAAGTAGCAATACAACAAACTACTACCCAATCCATCCATAGTCATGGGTACAAAACAAACAACCAAAAATACAAGTCTTTAATGCATAAACAACTCTTCGTTCATCGCCCCCTTTCGAACCCAATTCGACTCCTCCCGGACCCTTCATACCCTTCTCGTGTCGACGACCCACCACTCGCCTTCATCGTTCCACCACTCCCGACTTTATCCAATGCTTTCTTCCCTCCCTTAACCTCCGTCAAAAACTGGTCCAAACCAAATGGATCAGCTTCCTCAGCCACTTCCTTCTCGAACTCCACCGGTCGGTCTCTCGGACCGCTCTTTTCGCCCGCACCGCTGAACCCTTTGTCGGGTTTGAACCGATCGGTCTTCCGGATCTTCTCCATCTGTTCTTCGGCTCCACCGTACATCTCGTTGTCGGTATCCTTCTTTGGTCGGTATAAAGTAGAGAGAGTTGGTTGTGCGGTGAATAGGCCTTTGTCGTAGACGTTGTATTGGTCGTCAGTTGCGAAACCAGAGTCCATTCCCTTTTCTTGATTGAATAGCCGCTGGTCGTACATGACTTCACCACCGCGAGCCCCTCCGGCAGACGCCATGCCGAGTGCGACTTTCTCACTGATGTCACGGTCTCGGTCTCTGGTGATCTTACTCTTTTTTCCCATGGCTGCATCTTTGGCTTCCAAACGTCTCTCTCTTTCTCTCTCTCTACGCCGCTCCTCACGGATTTTCTCTCTTTGGAGACGCTCTTCTCTCTCCTCTTTCGTTTCTCTAGGTGGGTCCCTCTCTTTTACGCGTTCGTGTTCGTATTCGTGTACGCCTCTCATGGGCTCGTCAATATCCATATCGTTATGCTTGCCAGCAGGTGGTGGAAAAGAAGCAGCACCGGTTCTTTCGGATCTTGCTTTTTGAGCCAAAGCACGTAATTCTTGCTCCTTTCTTTCCTTTTCTTTCATCATCATCTCTTTCTGAACTTTGGATCGCATGGCAACGGCTTCTCTAGCTTTTTGTTCTGCTACATATAATGCTTCAGAAAGCTTTGCAAAGTTATCATTGATTTGAACCTCTTGAAGTCCCCTACCATCGGCTGCTAGACGTTTATCAAGTGGAATAGTGTACCCTTTGGGATTCTTCCAGTTAGAGATGCATGGAGGGATTTTCCAATCTTGTTGATCTTTCACAGTCACGGGTCGAGGAGGGGAGTGCATAACTGGGACGGGTGGTGAACCGTTAGCTTTTGGAACTCGCTTGTGTTTAAACTTTGGTGGCTCTAGTGGGTCCACGGGCATCTCCACCATCCGAATGATTCTCTCCTTTGCACCTGAATTAAATGCAGCTGATTGCTGTGAAGGTTTGTATTTGATGAACTTTGAATCTTGAGATTGAGTCTGAACATTTTTTGGCTGTGCTGCGCTTAATCTCACATTCACAATCTTCTCGAGAGCTGATTTTGTCTGCTGTGTGATTTCATCAATCTCTTTCTGCTTCTCATCATCCTCCTCTTCCTCTTCATCATCTCTCAAAATCTTTGGAACAAGATCTTTGTGCTGTGAATGGACGATCTTTAAAGCATTTTCGTTCTGCTTCACAATAGCATCGAACGTCAAGTTACCATGGTTATCAACGGTAACAGGCAATGTCTTCGGCCCAGAAGCTTCCTTCTTCCTACCCATATCCAGAGGATATTGTGCATAGTGAATCTCAGGGAAAGCTCCACCGTCACCATAGTCTTGTGCTTTTGATGGTCGATACTTCAACCGTTCTGGTGTGTTATACAACGGGATAAGGTCATTTTTAACAACCTCGGCGCTCTCTTGTTCTGTTGGGGCACTGTATCTTTGCTTAAACCATGGATCACTTGAGTGATCATAGAAAGTAGCAGAAGATGATTTTGCAGGTGGCAAAAGCTCCTTCAAAGCTGCCATTGAGACAAAAATCTAACAAGAACCAATTCACTCCCGTATACCCTACAAATACAAAATTTGAAACAAATCAAACAGGCTAGCTAAAATATCAATGCCAAGGAGTTCATCAGTCCCAGCTTAAAAAGTAACTATAAAAACAAGCATCAGGGTCACGTTTTCACAAAATCACACATTCCCATAACTGAAGATACAGCCTCTATGTTTCTGTTGCACAATTGGTCAAAAACACATACACGTCAAATTCATCATGATCTATATCAACAGCCAGCGAATTAGGTCATGTTGCACCAACAAAGTTGAACAAAATCGAAGTTTGTATTAACACCACCTATCAAACAAACTGCACAACACTTCATACGAACAAATACGCATAGTTCCATTGTTCTCGTAAATTTAACTAATATACCACCACTTTAACATATAAATCAACTAAACAGATTTAATAAAAATTAAAAACAATACACCATCTAGACACACGCAGTTAAGCCGGAATAAGATTATGAAAGCAATTGAGAAGGAGGTGGTAGGACTGAACCAACAGAACTAAGATTTACTCACATCTACGCAGCAAATTACTGAATCGCTTACGACGGATAGAAAATAATTGAAATCGTCTCGGCAAAAAGCATCAGCAACTAACGTAGGTAATACATAACAAAAATATGCGTGAAAATGATGATGAAAGATTCAATCGATTACATAAAGCAAAAACTAACGATTAGATCGAGATAGAATCGTAAGAACCTGAGATTTATACAGTCCGGATGGACGAAATTGACGAAAGATCAAGAATCAAGCTTGAACAACTCGATAATCGATGAAATCGATTTGAGATGATGCACGTCTCCCTCTGGTTGGATGAAATTGGGGATCGCGATTCTTTTTGCACAATTTCTAGGGTTCGTTCTATGGCTAGTTTTGGGGCCCAATACGGAAGCCTAATAACCATTTGCCAGAGTCGGCGTTGTGATATAAGTTTTGAGTAAATTACAATTTTCATCCCTATACTATTTATAAGTTCCAATTTTAGTCCATACTGATTTCTTTTTTACTATTTGGACAAAAATATTAGAATAATTTATGAAAATCGGCCACCACACACCATAACACACACAAAATAAAACTCAAATTCAAATTCAACCCAAATTAAAACACAAACTCAAACCCAGATAACCAAAACTCAAAATCAAAAAACATATTAGGTTGTCACTAAGAGTATAATACTTTTTACTGATGACATTCAACCCCTTGCTAATGGTTACACTTTTTAATTTTCACCATATTAATTCCAGGATGTAATGATATCATACTTTTTCAAATATAAAGAGTAAAAACTTGAAATTTGGGTAGATATGTAATGAGGCATAGAAAACAATTAGTATCTGCTTCAAGGAATAAGAATATTAATTCCATGATACAAGTTATAAAGTCAATGGTCAATTTTCATGCAAAAGTTTACTTCATTATTGACAACCACAGCTTTTGCTTTTCAAAAAGATAGGATAGTATAGCAGCATTACTCACTTCCAAAAGCATTCTTAAACTTTCACAGGAACTTCCAAATTTTCATTTGCTTTAGAAACATTGCATAATACACTTCTACCTCATTAAGTCAATAGTCATTACAATCCATATATTCTCCATTGCCAGCCACTCCATCTACCTGTCGCTCTTGGAAAGATAAGCTGATTGCATTAGAGTGGAGTGTGTATCACGAACAATATTTTCTTGACTTTTCAACAACCTTAAAAGTTTTTATGTAAAATATCAGTTTTTTAATTGATATATAAATAAGATGATTTATTATTTACATATTAACTAGCAGATCGGAAACTTCACCAGATGTGGTACGTTTTTACTAAAATCCATGTCACATGTCTGATCAATCTATAACCATCATCATCACAACAATAATCCATACTATTAAAAATAAGGTGTGAAAACCATGTTAAAAAATAATATACTTTTTCGCTATTAGGAACGTTCAATATCCATGCAATTACTACCATTAGTCTAAAGACAAATCTAAACTTGATTTCATGGCCCACTTCTTTCAACAATTATATTAAATGCAAGAAATAAAAGGAAATCGCGTTCATCAAGTTGAGTTGGGTTCAAATGACCGTAACCCGATTCCAACCCAATGCCTAAGGTTTGAATATTTTATAACTCAATTAGACATAAGGTTTCTTCAGATTGGATTATTTCATATTAGGTTGTGTTGCGTTGGTCGGGTTGTTCGATTTTTAGCACCCCTAGTTGTCATCACCTACTATCAATCATTGACCATTGTTCCACCACCTACCATCATCAGAACTATCACCCACCACCACTAGACACTCAGACATGCCACCTGCCATCATCAGAACCGCCACCCATCACCATTTGAAGCTGCCACTAATACCATCTAAAACCACCATCCACCACCCACCACCCACCACCATTGGTACCCCCTCCACAAACACAAAAAATAACATTATTTGAAGATGAAAAAGATGCACAAATATTATAAACACAAATCGAAGATGAACAAAATGCCCAAACAAATTTGATTTCATAATCAACAAATAATACCATATGAATTTGTTCCTAATACCCTTATCTAAATCAAAGTGAAAAACCCTAAACAGAACATTGAAATCAAAACCCTAGTCTAATATCACCTCTAAAATAACATATATTAAATACGGATGCCATTGTTGTTTGAAAAAAAAAAAAAGGGGCGAGAGGCCATTGGGTCTTGGATCAACAGTAACAGGGGATCAATTAGAGAGAGATAAGTAAAAGGGCAATGAGACGCCTTGGTACTTGGATAATCGGAGCATTGAGGCACCTAAGCACCTTGGTGATTGGATCGCTAAAGCGTGGTCCTTATAGTGTCTGGATCTGGTGATAAGGTAGTCCTTGTGGTGTATCATGTAGGTTTATGTATGCGCACGTCACATGTAAATGTTGTTGGGGTCAAATAAACCTGTAAGGATCGTACACATAGAGCATGTATGTCTTGAACTTGAATATGACGATCATGAGCCATATCAGATTATATTACATGTTGTGGTAATAAAGAATAATTATTTTCTAATCGAGTAATAATTAATAAGTTGTATGTGTATAATTTAATTATGATAATTACCATAAACAATGATTTATTTGGGCTTATAGATAAATTAATCATTAAAATAATAATTAATTAGGCCTTAAAAGCCCAAGTTCGTTAAATAATGTTTTATTTTTATGTCACATAAGTAATTATATATTAAGTTAATAATTAATGAAGTTATTAAATACGTTATGGCCCAGGTTTGTTAATTAAAAGGGGCTCGACTCTAGTGATGGTGAAATCCGCCCGGTCCGGAACTGTCGGAGGATCGGAACCGAGACCGGCAAAGGATTGGCCCGGCCTGGGACCGGTAAGGACCGGTTATGAGACCGAAAACCGGGACCAGTTGGGGTTTTTGGCAGTTTTGTGGGATTAGCCCGACCCGAAAATTCAAATAATTTTATAAATAAATGTATTTTAAAATAATTTTATAACGTATTTTTTTAAGACAACGCAAATTTAATTATATTAAAACGTTTTTAAAGTGTATTTGAGTGACCCAATTCAAATTTTAGAATGCGTTAAAAATATATATTATTAAAAAAATTTAAAAATTATTTTTTAATACCGAGACCGACGGCCATAACCGGTTATGAAGAAGCTTAACCGGTCTTACCATTTTCGACTGGGACCGGGCCATCACTACTCGACCCATATATGGAAATGAGGAAGTATATGAACCTTCTTATGTTTAGATTTAGGGTCGAGAAAAAATCATTTTTGCCTCCTCCTCTCCTCCTATCATTGGGCGACACCCCACACACACACACGCAAGATAATCGATTTCTCTTGTGTGGTTGTTCTGGTTCAACGAGCTAGCAATCAGTTCGAGATTTGATACTTACGTGTAGATACCGTTAGAGAAAAGGTATACATTAATCTCTTGTGCTTTAGATTACAATTATAACATTTTGAGGTAGTTTTCTTGAAACACCTTATGGTCGGTATTTTGTTTCTATTTCATATGTATTAGATTCTGGTTGTTAAGGGTTTCACAATTCATTTTGTTTAATATTTATGGTTGTTTATCGTTTTTGTGTCCACTGCGATTTTGTGATCCCGATGAAACCTAACATATCACTGCATCGAGAAGGGGGAAGGGGAGGGTAGTCGGAGTTGTAGGCGGGAGGGGAGTGGGTTCTTCTGGTTCTAAAGAGTTGATGGTGAGGCTAGAGTTAGCAAGAAAAGGGCTTCATTGAGTTTGTGTATATATGTATAGAGTAATCATAATTAGATGTGCTCAAAAAACCGACCAAGCAGGCCAACCCAACCCAAAGAAACTCAACCCGAGGTAATCGGACACATACTTGATACAAAATTAGGCCAAATCGTATCTATTGGGTTTGAATTGGGTTATGGTAATTGGAAATCATCACAACTCGATGAACCCGATGTCTTTTTTATACTACTATGTTAATATTTGCACAAAAGTCTTCCCATCCTTTTGCCAACTGAGTTACACATCAGAATGCAACTGAATTAAGGTTTTAATATGATTGAGAAATCTTTAATTAATATACATACATTAAACATTAGACCAACCCGTAATTAGCTATATTCAAAATTATATTACAATCTCAACCATAATTTTACTTTTTTATTAGCATGAATTTCAACTTTTTTTTAGTTTGTTAGCCTCTCTTGTTTTGACTTTACTTCGTCAGGTTGTAAAATGATGTACCAAAGTTTCAACATAACCAACCCAACAGAACCCACACGGTTCAGGTTGGGTTGAGTTGTAGTTCTGCTTTGCTTTGCTTGGGTTGAGTTGAGATTTTTTCAAACTGCAAACAATAAGTTGAGTTGTTCAAAACTTTAAATGTCTTCAACCCCACTAACCTAACTCATGTATAGACCTAATTATAATTTAGATCCATATGGTTTTCTAACTTAATAGGTCAAAAAAGAAAAATACAAAAACTGGAAAGGACAATAATACCCCTCATTTAACGAATAAAAATTAATGGTAATTAGTGGTAGGGATTAAAACGTTTCAAAAATGCAAATTCTAGGGGCTATTTTGGAATAAAAAAAAATATAGCAACCAAATCTAAGACAAATTTAAACCCCATGGACCAAATATGTAACTTACTCAAAGAATTATTTTGTCTCGTTTTGATTTATGAACCTAAGGAGTTGTTTACCAGGTGTCACTTATCTTACCGAGCGAGAATAGCAAGGATCGATAATCTTGCCTGGTAAATGAAAGATAAGGCTCTTACTAGGTTAGCACTTTCCGGATAAGTACGTAAATCTATTGACTATTGTAGGTAAGTGCTTACTTGAAACCACAAGGGTGGTGCCTGATTGGTTTGAGCTTGGCTTCAAAGGTCAAAAATACTAGGAGGTCTCAGGTTCAAATCAAGGAAGAATAAAAATTCCCTTGTGACCACAGAGGTTCAATGGTGGTGACTTCGGGCTATCTACAAAACAAGTGGTCGCACTGAGATTAGTCGGCTCGTATAACGGGTTGGATATTCAGGTTAATAAAAAAAAATGCTTACTCGAAAAACCCTTAAATAAGTACAAACCAAGTCAAGCCAAGCACCTGTTATTCGATCTCATCTCGATAAAATAATCTCAAGTTTGACTCGAGCTCAAATAACTTTTCAAAGCAATGATTGTCATCGAGTTTGATGCTCGTTTAACAAGTTTGAATTATATATGATACCTAAAATTTAAAAGTTTGTTTATGGACTCGAGTCAAGATCGATTAATTCGTTGCTTGAACTCGACAATGTTTATATATTTATTATATAATTTTATGAACATACGAACATGCTAGGCTTGAAAAAATGCATGCTTGAATGGCGTGGTCGACTAAAAGGAATTTGATTTAACTTCTGAATGAGCCGAGTCGAATATTGATATTATAGAGTTCGAC